AATTAATTATCTGAGCATGCTGACTCCATTTTTCATATAAAGGGTTGAGGTGGCTACAAGCCGTTTCTTACGAAAAATGACATGAAGACTATGTGTCACCCTGAAGACTCATACTCTATTGGCGTGGTGAAATGAATTCAGTGGGGCCTGTGTCACGCTTCAGTGGGCTCTATGCTCCACTCTCTCATTCACAACTTGAGTTACCTTAGTTATGTCAGAACTGGGCCAGGAGAGTTCGGGGAAAATCTGTGTTTGAATTCTAGACTCACCACTTGATGGATGTTATTTATGTTTTCTGAGATGGAGTTGCCAGATCTCCAAAACTTGGACAATCATATCTATCAGAGGGAGCTGGTAAGACAATTAGATAAAGCTGTTAAGGTGACTAGCGCCATGGTGGGTGTACAATATGCGCCTGGCAAGTGTAATTTCCTCCTTTTATCCTCAGCCCTCCATGTCCAAGGTCAACTGAGAAAAGACATGGAAATATGGGGTTTAATTATTTGAGACATAAACCTGAAGGTCAAGATGAATACAAGGTCAGTCTGAGAGGTAAAGAATGGGTGCTATGCCTAAAGCCACCCATCACCTCCTGGGCCTGGCATTCAGCGTGTGCATTTGAAGCAGAGACTGAACAAGCCACTCATGGTGGTTGTGCAGGTGGTTGTCATGAGGGATGGTCAGCTGCATAATTTGGAGACTTAGTTTTGGGGGTATGTGAGGCTCAGGGCAGCCTATTCAGTCCCCCAGGGAGAAGATAGATTTGGGAAGGGGGCAGGCCAAAACCTCACCCTGGGGAAATGGCGTGTGAAGTAAGACTCATTCATCAGAGAAAAAGGGAGGGAACTTAACTGTTGGACAATTTGGGATACTCCCAGACAGAGCAACTCTGACTCTGTTAATGCCCAAGGACTTCCAAGTAAGACAGACACACACACACACACACACACACACACACACACACACATACACACAAGTGTGAAAAAGAATTTGGGGTTTTATTTGACTCAGTACAAGTCAACAGTGTGATGTGGCTACAAATCCACAGTAGCATTAATAAATATTAATAGAATTATCCTATTTAGATCAAGAAAGAGAGAATACAGCTCTGCTACTCTTGCTTCATCAGGATTGCAGAGATAACTGGGTTCACACTGACAGGTGAGCAATGAACGTGGTGAGGGAACAGGAAACTGAGCCATCTGGATAAGTGCTGGAGTAAGTAAAGAGGTTTAAAAAAAGACAGCAAGAGTACATAATATCTTCAAATATTTGAAAGGGTATATCAGTCAGGGTTTATGATTACTAACAACAGAAACTGACTATGGTTAACTTAGTCAAAAAAGTAATTTGTTGGAAGGTTATTGGGTGATGTGAAGGGTCATCAGAAGACTGGAGAACCTGATGGGGAAAACACTCCAGAGTCAAGTGAGGCTGGCAGCAAAGGACAGAACCACGGTCATGCCACAAGAGCCATCTAGCCATGGTGCTGCCTGGTATCACCTCCACTGCACACTGGCCACAGCGGCCAGACCCGTCTCTGCTTCCGTGGATAGCTTTGGATGTACCTGAACCTCTGCTCCTCTCTGATATTAAAAAATCCTACTCAGAGGAGCTTCTATTTGGCTATATGACCATGTGCAGGCTGTCTGGGGATGAGGAGATGGAATGCCCTGTCCCCTTAGGCTCTGCTTCCCTCTAAGACTCACACCATGGAGAATAATTCCAAAAGAAGGAGAGTTAAGATTCTGAGCAGATGTGAACAAATGAAAAAGCAAAACCAGCAAATATGCACTACAAAGTAGCAATCTTAGTGGAAAAACATCAATAGATACATGCAATTGGGAAGCAGATACTCATTTGATTGAAAAATATGTTTCTCTTAAAGAAAACTGGGCTAACACAATTGAGTGCCTTTGGTGATAGTGAGTTCCCCATTCCTGGCAGAAGGCAGGAAGGCACTGGTGACTACTTGGTGGTGGAAGTTTTCCTCTGTAAGTATAAATTCCCAGCAATAAATCAGTTAGCAATAAACCAATGTATTTATTTCTAAATTATTCTGACAATATTGTAACAAAGAAGGAGAATATCTAGAAACTTTTCTGTGGATTTCTTAAACCCTAGGCCTTGAAACAACACATGTATGCTTGGGAGCAAGTATGGAAAAAGCTATGAATCCCTTGACATTTCTAACAGGTTTAGAGGATGGGGGCTGGGGGAGGTAGATGGTGAGCATCTGTTTCCTACTTGTCCAGAAGTGGAAGTCATCTAAACCAGGCATGAGCAGGTTGGAGGGTGGGAAGTTTCTCACCAATAAATTAGTCCCTAAAACCTCCAAGAGACTGGTGGAGTAGGGCCGGAGATAGTGGTAAGGGAGAGAGAACACTTTCACCGCTTCTGATGCCAGGAGAGATTTCCACCATCCTGCCACTTCCCACCCCAAAAGAGAGGCACTGGGGCTAACTACCCCTGGCACTCAGGGAGCGACGTCTGGAGTCACTGATACTTAGCCCTTCCTGGTACAATGTCCTCTACTTTGTGTGCTTGGATCAGTTTCTTCCCTGTTGCCCGTTTACAGCTCCTACATCCCCCTGCAAACTGGATTAATCTTGGCATATTTCTGGGATAGAGATGGCTCTGCCCTATTCCTTTGTCTGAAGAATAGGAAAAAATTTTGTTTACTTTATACTGAGTGAGCTCAAGGAAGGGAAGACAGAGAATGGAGGGAGAAAGAGGGAAAACAAATATTTAAAAATTTTTTAATGTAGGCCAAATATTAAAGAATATATATTCTTTATAGAATATATATAAAGAATATATATATAAATATGTATAAAGAATATATATATTCAGTGTGCTCAACATCTGAGGAGCACACTGAGAAAATGGGGCTCTCTGGGGGATGGTGTGAGTACGTAGGTCAGGGTGTGGAAAGATTGGGTGAGTCCAAAAATACACTGAACCATACTTTCAGTTCTCGGGACTGATGTCAATTAACTCAAACCTACGTTTCCAGGTCAAAGAAAGAAGGAGATGCCTCACAGTCTTTACAACGCTGGGGAAGTGAAACCACAGATAAAGGAGTTCCTGAACAAGGTTATTAGTGTGGATAATTAGCATAATCATTCCAGTTTTATTTAGATTCATATGGTATCTTCAGAAAAGGAATTTTAAAGCAGTTGAACTGCCAGGCACAACTTCCTTGCAAAATTTTAAACTGCCTGAGGTTTCTATCTTTTCGGATATTCACCATTTTCTGTTAAGAAAATGCCTTTCCTGAAATGTTGCCTGTTAAGGAAATTTATCTTTTCCCTCAGTCGTCACAGGAATGCAGGCGATTAGCCATGGAGCCCTTCTCTGTCTAGCACCAGGCATGAGTGGCCCAGCCCTGCAGAGGCCATGTGAATGGAACTGTAGAATAATCCTCAGAAGAAAAAGCCAGCTCCCACGAGCGGCGCTGCCCACTACACCAAGGTAGGCACTGTGTGGAAGATTTGGTCGGCAGCAGGGAGGTGTGGGGCTAAGGGCAATGGTGAGGCAGTGGCCGGGGAGGTTAACACCAGTCTACTGGACCCTTTGTAATTAGTACTCCCCATTACATCCTAACTAAAGACCCTGAATGAGTTTTTTTATTTAAGTATTTTTATTTTGTTGGCAGCAGACCTTTAAACCATTTAAATCTAAATATCATGGGAAATATAATATATAAAACAGAGGACAATATCTAAAATTTACACAGCACTTTCATGTACCAAGTTTTATATATTGATTTATTTCATCTTCATAACACCCTATAAAGAAATATTACTGTCATTTCTATTTCGAGGTGAGGAAACTGAGGCACAGAGAAGGAAAGTAACTCAGCTAAGATCATGAAGCTAGTAAAGAGCAAGGCTGTGAACTGGGCCCAGGCAGTCAGCTTCAGAACTCTCTTACGCAGAATGGGAGTGGAGGTCTCTGGACACTGGCCTTATCCCACCGCCTCTTTGCCTACAAAATACCCTGGGCTCTGTAAGACACAGCTCAGGAAGCTCCTCAGACAGTTCAACTCTCTTCTTTTAAGAGATGAGGAAATTGAAATGTAAAGAAGTAAAGTAACTTCCCTAAGACCTCACAATCAGCAAAAAAGGGTCACTTCCATCCTCTTTTTATGTTAAACACTCAGCAAATTCCCTCCTTATAAGCAGACTGTCTATTTTCTGTTGAGAAAAATGCCTTGAGGGTGTGTAATGTGCCCTGAAGAGCATTCAGATGGATGCAGGAACTCAATGAGTATCAAAAGGATCAAAGAGCAACTTGGGGGAAAACCCAAATTAACTAAATTATGTCTTTTGCTTCTTCCTACTTCTTATATGAAACTCAGAATAAGAGAAGGGCAAATGAGACCCAAGTCATAAATTGTCATCATTCTTTTACTCAAGAAATAATGGCTGAGAGCTTACAGTGTGTCATGAACTGATCGCATGCAGGCACATACCATGGTCTCAAGGTGTGGGGATACAGTGTGGAACAAGTCAAGTTCCAGTCCTCTTAGAGCTTACATTCTAGGATCTGCGGAGGACCAACTAACTTTGCATAGAGATGTCTATAGAGGGCTTAGAACCAGTCTGTGCCCTGGCCAGCTGTGGGTCATTAGTCACTGGGAGACCAAGGGAGAGGGTGGATGGTCTAGAACAAACCCAACACTGTGTTAAGATGTTCTTATCTTCCTCATGATGAACCATCAGGAGATTTTTTTAAAAGATTTTTTCCCTAACAATTTTAACTCTGTTCCTTACTTCATATTTGTGTAGTAAGTACATGTCACATGTTTTATTTTTATGGAAGCATGCAGAAATCTTTCAAGAACTGATAGCACCTTTTTCTGTCCATTAAATTACCAGGCAATGGTTTCTTATCATGGATGAAAATACAAATACAACTTTCAAATCATTTCTAAAACTTGCTGATGATAGAAACTTCAGTGAAAGAAATGTGGTAATTAATACTGTTAAATTTTAAGCATCTATTTGACAGACCAGGAACAGTTACTGTCTGTTGCTGAGGTTTCCACTACAGATGCAAGAAAAAGTGCCCTTGTGCTTTCTGTCTTAATTATGGCAGCCCAGATTAAATGGGGGAATGCAAAGGGGAAAATATTTATATGTTTATGTAGACTGAATTCCAATATATGTAATGAAGCAATTAATCAACAGTTATTTATTAAACCAGTTTCTGTTAAATCAGAAGCTTTTGATTGCAAATGAATGAAGCTAAAGATGACTTAGGCAATAAAAATAATTTGTTGGACTACATAACTGAAAAAGCTCAGGCTTACTTCAAGATTCAGAATGGCCTGAGCAGAGCTCTGTTTCTTTACACTTCTCTCTGCCCTGATTCTCCTCTTGGCACTGCCTTTATTAGGGTGGTTAGTCTCCTAGTAGAAATACGACTGTATTACTATAAAGCTCATACCTGGACACTGCTCTATCTAGAGTAAGAAAGAATTTCCCCCTGATCAGCAAACAAAAGTCTGGGTTTCACTCTTATTGAACCAACATCATAGAGAAGGACTCTTAGAGAAGGGTCATGTGCCTTCTCTAAGCCTATCACTGTGGATAGGAAGCCAAGATTATACTGATTGGTCCAGGCTCTTTAGGGTGCACCCCTATAGTTGGAAGAAAGGAAGAGAATCCCAAACTGCATAGCTGCTACCCAATGGAGGAGAGGTGAAGTGGATGCTGGAAAGCAACTCAATTCCACTTCAATCTACCATGCTCCATACACTGTTCTAGGCTTTGAGGATATCACTGTGAATAATTCAGTCTAGTTAAACAACCGTAAGCAGATCTTTAAAATATTCATAACACAACTTTGAAGTTCTTAAAACATGAGGTTGGGTAAAACTCCAAACTGTTGTTCTGATATTTCTAGAATTATTGACTAGCCTGCAGTGCACAGTGAAGGAATTGCACCAGGAGTCAGAGGATTTGTTCACATATACACCCAGCAAGTGGATTTTGTTTATGAGACCCAGAATTTGAGGAGGCATAATCAATAGGTGCACAATGAGGATTTACAAGATTCCCATTTGATTCTGCTTTAGATTTTCAGCTGGAAGCAATTAAACTCCCCTAATGGAAAGAATCTTTTTTAATATTTAGGTAAATCAAACTTAAATAATTGGTTTGGGTGATTGCATTGTGTTTAAACCCAAGTCTTAGCCAAGATGGTGTATGGCAAAGGAGAAAAGAAAGTGTGGGGAGAACGCTCCTGCCACGTGGCCCTTTCCCCAGTTGCTGGAGATTTCCTCTGTCGTAAGTTGCATCTGCAGAGTTTGCCACCCCGGCAGCCTGCCTGTGTGCCAGGATGATCACTAATTGGGACCACCATGACATTAAGGCTGAAAGTGGGGTTGAAAGCGAAAGGAGATATTTTGAAGATTCTGTTCTTTGCAATTACCTGGGGATATGCAAGTTCTGTTTATTCAATAGGGACAAATTGTTTACTTCCCTGAAGCATGCTATATCCCTGAAAATCTTTAAATTTCTGTCTAAGTAATGCTCATGAGCTGCATGTTATAGATCTCTACATTATGTGATAATATAGCTTAAACAGTGATCTTTGCTTAGCCACAGTCTTAGCAAAGACCGATAGAAAGAAAACACATGAAGTTTGGTGCTGTAGGATGATAATACCAAATCTTCTTCAATGAAGCTCAATAAAGTTCAGTCCCCCCCTTTCAGGCTACTACTATCACAGTCATTAGCACTGCCACGGCACACACATGAATTGTTCATCACCTTATTTTGAGGTTCTTGGTCAACTTTGAGAGAACTATAGAAATATGAAAAGTTAGGCATTAAGACTGAAAGAAAAGAATCAAAGTTTTGCCATGTGTATTTCATTAAATTTAATTTAGAACCAATCAAGCATTTTTCCAATGAATCCTAATTATAAAATAGGGAATTTGGCCCAATGTGTCCTCTTCACTATGTTTTCCTTAACATTCGGAGTAAATATAGTAATAGTGGACCTCAGAAGACTTGACAAACTAGGATAAATCTTTTTACAAATGGGGAGCAGGGTGCATTTCATTGTTAAAAGTCAGATCTCACAATCCTCCTAGTTAAGACAACTATCAATGCCCTCAAAAGCACAAAGGGACAGCATTCTGCCTATTATATGTGCTTTTTTGCATTAATGCAGAAGTTCTTTGTTAATAACCATATGTGTAGCAGCCACATTTAAACTTCAGAACATCAAAATTAGATGTATTTGAATAAAGAAGAGAAAAAAAAAAGGAACCGAAAGCTATTAAGGAGAGCTTTTAAAGTCCTGGCTAGGTGTGATTTCAAAACAAACACATCCACATGGTCCCAGTTCAGACAGATAGAATCCTCTAGTCTCTTCAGGGGTTGTACTTGGAATATGAAACATAAATTTTGTTTGATGTTTTTAAAAATTTTTGCAAATAATATTTTCAATGCAATTACTTTTGAACAGGGCAGTGGGGAAGCCAAGTTAGGTTAACAGATCAACCATAGAAAATTCAAGAGGGTCCTTTGCAAGGTGAGAGGGAGTGTGTGGCTTTGCCGTGTGGTTGTGTGGCTGCTCCCCAGAGTCGCTTTGCCTGTTTTGCAGGGGTTTGTGGTATATTCACGGACACTTAGGTGGCTGCAGGCTGAGTATGGCTTTTGAGCGGGCTAAGCCAGGTTGGCACACTCTCAGCTCTGGGAAATCCACAGCGTTTTAAAAAGAGCAGGTGGGCAAGAAAGCTGAACACTGCAGGGCACGTCGTGCAGCTGTGAGAGGTGGAATTCCCCTCAAAAGGATCGGCGCTGCTTTGAAAATAAATTCATCGTTAAAATAGAAGGATTTCTGAGGCAGTAGATGAACACGGGACTTGACTGGTTTCAAATTAACTCTTTGTACTCATCTTTCATTCATCCTGTAAGAAAATGTCTCTACTTTTTCCAGAGGGGTAACACAAATAATACTTGACATCTTTTCAAGACGAGTGAAAATGTTGGAGTACTTCTGCCGCTGCATCTGCTTTTGATTCCCCCTGAATCTTGTTGCTAGAATGCATGGCAAGGAGCGACCCTGGCTGCAATGCCAGCAGTCTGTTTTGTCTCACGTTCAGTATTTAGAGAAAGAGGGATGTGCTTCTCCCTGGCAGGATGGCCTATGCTTATTCTGATGTCTAGAGGGAAGGTGGCTGGTGTTGATGGCTGCCGTTCCTTCTGTCTTTCTGGGTCTGTGCTGGTCCCTTGGGTCCCCTCCCTGAGCCCCTCCTTTTGAGTTAAGAAAGACCTTGCTTCTCTTCTTCTTGCCACTAATTTAAAGCGTTTCCTCTCCCTTGTAGAAAATATCTGATACTACCATTTTCTCTGAAGAAGACTATTTACATATCTGTTAAAGAGTCTTTCGTCCACGTATCCCATGAACAATTAAATGCAGGGCAGACTAGCCTGTGGAAACCTTTCTGGCTACTTAAGTGAAGTTTCCTAATCCTTTTCTGCAGCAACCCAGACCCCAGCACTGAGGCCCATTCATCTGCTGTTGCTCCTCAAGCTCTTTGATCTCAGGCCTTCATTACAGCTCATTTCAGCATTAAGGATGATCTGAATTCTGAATTCATGAGCTCTTCCCTTCCTAATAAGTGCCATTCATATCCATCCTCAGGAGCGACCATGGAAAACTGGTTCAAAACACGCACAAGAGAATAATGGACTAGCTTCAAACACAAGTGAAAAATGGGGGTTTTATTAGCCAAATGAACCTTTGAATGAGAAACTTCATTAAACAGAGGAGTCTCATTTTCAGGGTGCTGTTAAATCCACCAATTGCCACTCTGAGATTAGTATGTGTGGTTATTTCATTTTTTTTCAGATGGAAATCCTGAGGTAGAGAAGAGATGGAATATGCTCACTGCATCACGGCAGGCCTAGAGTTGATTTGGCTTCACAGTTTTTGAAAACCATGGATGTTTTTCATGGCTTTTATATTCAATTCATCTGGACTGAAATGTGATGCTCCTAAAAATAACCTACTCTTTCTATCATTTTTCTTAAAAAAACTTGAATTTGGATTTAAATAATACCTTGATAACTTCTAAAGCCATCAAGCAAAAAGAAGAACAGATAGTTAGACGACAGGGGCCGGCAGAGCCAAACAGAGGCAGACAGGCAGAGAGCGCGGTGGCAGCAGCCACCACCTGGTCCATTCACAGCCTCCGCGGTAATGACATTTTGCTCTGGCTTTAAACTGGTGAAGGCACAAAGGAGACATTATTAAAGTCTTAATTTCCACAACAGAAAGCTCATCCTGTGCACCAAAGTGGTACCTCAATTAGCATTATGGCAGATTCTAATTGAACACTTAGTAGAAGCACTCAACACTGTAAAAATGAAGGGGGAAAAAGAGTAGGTGGTGTTCCCTTAAAAGGCCTTTAAAGTTCCTGAGGAGCACTACTCCTTATTGCTCTATCGTTTCATTTTCTGCCCTCCTCCCAATCTTCAGGACCCTTCCCCAAATTTTCCACTCCTAATCCATGTCCCCCGCCCCCTTTCCACCCAACCTCCAAGTCTCACAAATGTGCCTCTCACGAAAGGTGGCCGAGTGAGGATCACAGGCCAAGCCTTCCTTCTTCGGCAGGAAGTGTGGCCCCAAGAGGGCAGAGATAAGAGACTTAAGGCCCTTAAGGAAAACAAGTTTGAGGGGATGGGGCCTCTGTGTACGTTTGCAGCACCACAAAGCACCCCTGGCCCTGCAGTGGCTTTGCAGATTTCAGGGGGTAAGCACTTCACCCTCCTTCCAGGGGACCCTGTGATTCAAAATGGTTGTTGCCCAGGCATCACCTTCACTCCCGTCAATGCACCATGAGAGGGCTGAAATGAAAATTAGCAGCAGGAAGAAGAGCTTCATGATCCTCTTCACCGAGCCTTTCAATTAAGCTACTGATTAGATCTTAAATTTCCTTACCAAATAAAAAGATGAAGCCTTCGCTCATGTGAGCAGTTGGGATTTTTCTCTCCTCTGGCCAAGCCCAGTGTTTTTAATTTTGCTGGGCTGAGAAACCAAGTGTCACGGTCATGCTGCTGCTGGAACAGACACAGAGCATCCAAGATGTTCCTTTGATCCAGGG